AATTAATTTACAACTTATTAGTAAGTTGTCAGGTAGAAGTGCACATGAGTTGATTAGGGAAAAGACAGCGTAACTTTTGTATTATATTGTGACTAATATACCCATGTCATATTCAATTGCTCATTAGATTACAACGGGTAAGACCGTAATTTAGTACGCTCCCGCGCGATGAGCGGAAGTGGAGGTGTCATGGGCGAGCAGCATGACGGCCAGTAAGACGAGCCCATGTTCAAGTGGGACCCGGGTTCGGTCCGGCGGTGAACACAGATTCAGCGTGTGAAAAGTGTGGATCCCACGACAGGAAATACAGGTGATAATAAAAGGGTAATTTTTTTAATTATATTTTTAAATATTTTTTAAATATTATTAAATAAATAAATATTTAATATTATAAATTTTTAATAAATAAAAAATTAATTATTTAAATAATATTTAAAATTATAAAAAATAATATAAAAAATTATCCATAAATTACTTTTCAAAAGTAAAAATCTACTCTTCACAATTATATTTTCATAATTTAATAATTATTTCTCTTTTATAAAAAAACTTTTCATTTTAAATTTGACATGTGAGTTTGCAGTGAAAAAAAAAACCCACCCGACACCAGCTAAGTTCACTAGGTTGCTTTAGTGCTGCTGATGTGGAGTTTCTATATTCTAAGACGAGGGAGTCACGTGACTTTACCTCGGGATCTGCACATAAGTCGCCTTTTGTCCCCTTTGGACCTATCATTTATCGCCACGTTGTCAGTTTTGACTTTTAGTGGACGAAATTACCCTGATGAAATTGCTTTATTACCTTTTTATTGGTGATGGCTTAAGAAGGATGCAGTTCTTTCTTTCTAGATCGATTGTACGTGGAGCCGACATTGGAGAACAGTCGTACACCGTTGGACCGTAGAAGATGTGATAAAAAAAGAGATTTCGTACATTTTCCTGTGATACGAAGACTGCACTTTAAAAGGTTTTCGTAAATTACATTTAACTTTTAATCATTGTTCTTGTTAAAAGAAAAAAAAAAAAAAAGACGTCGGTGGGCCTACGTTCCAGATTCTATCAAATTACATTGATAACCTTCATTATATATAAAAAGGTGCAAGATCACAGCTGTGCTTTTGAGTCTTTTGACCAATACCTCCTGTTAATGTATTTTTTTTTAAAGAAATATATAAATATTCACAATATTCCAATTGGGGATGAGTTGTGATGAACATGAATTTTTTTTTTGTATTAGATGATATAGTATACAATATATATTTTTTAAGATAATTATATTTTTTAATTTTTAATTTATTTTAAATTAATTGTTATTTTTTATTTTTTAAAATAGATAAATATTTTTTATTTTAACTTTATTATTTATTTTTATTAATTATATTATTATAAAAAATTTTACTTTATTTTTTAAGTTTTTTCTCATGAGTAATATGGGTGAAATATATAAATGGTTTATAAGTTTTTAATTTGAAAAAAAATAGCAATCATTATAGGAGTAACTATTAATTATTATCATGTAATAAATATGAAAATTGCAAAGACAAATTATAATATGTAGGTATAAGTTTCAGTTGCCTTCCACAATTCCACCTCAGCATGGACCAAATTGACTAAAACAAAACTTTGGGGTGGGGAGTCCTATCTGCGTGTGTACACCTAAGCAAGTTGAACTAGAATCATAGATTAGAATTAAAGACAACTTCATAGCAAATTTATACATTAACAAAACATAATATGAAAATCAAGAGGCTGATATGGTATTAAAAATTAATTTTTTAACTTATGTCTTGATAAATGAAATATATATTTATTGTATTTTTGTATCATTAATTTATATGAAAAATTAAGAAAAGAAATTAATTTATTTCCAATATCAATATCACATGAATGATTAATAAAATTAAAATTAATTTTTATTTTTTGATTAAAAAAATAATAAATGCACCTTTAAATTGTTAAAAACATTCCTTAAAAATTAATGTTAAAACATTCAAAATTTCCCTCTTAAAAAAAAAAAAAATTATGTGATGGTAGATTTCATGGACTAATCTAATATTAGCATGCAACAAGCAAAAATACGAGTTATTTGAGTTTAAAAGTCTTAAGTTTAAAATGAAAACATTATAAATGAATCAATCAATGAAGGAGATGGAGTATTTAGAACTGCATAACATTAATTTTGTATATGTTGGATACATATTCCTAAACAAAAAATACTACAAACGAAGTATGAGATTGGATGGTTCATCATTCACGATAGGAGTAAATTAATTAGATTAGGTCAGGTGGCGATGTGTGATGTCCAGTTTCCCCACAGTAGGTTTAGCTTGGTTTACCCTTCACACATAAGAAAAACACCCCCCAAAATGTTTGCCCATTTTCAATGTTCTTTTTCAAGAAATCATTTCGTTCTATTACTAGATGATAGAATTTTTTTATAAAATTAGTTATATAGGATGCATTTAAAAAAAAAAATGAATGAATTGATGAATCTAGGTGTTGTTTGTTGAGACTTATTTAAGGGACTAAGGAGGTCAAGATCAAAAATTCGTTGCAAGTCACGTGCATGCCTGATCTTTGTACCTCTCAACTACGGAAATCAAAGCGGCACGTGGACCCACAACCCCTTCCCAATCACATGGCATTTACTGTCCCACCCTAATACCATACGCCACAAAACACCTAAGCACCCTCTTCTAAAAGAAAATAAAATTGAACCACCTATACCAATTAATTAAATAATTTAATGATAATTTTTTTATTAAAAATAAAAAAACTTAAATTCAAATTATATGACATATAAATTAAAAAAATTACTTTTTATAATATAATTCAAAATAAATAAATAAAAACACACACACACAAATCTTGAGTTATTGTTGCCTTTCATTTTGTTAAGATCACTTATTGAATCATAATTTTATGAGGAAAATTTTAGTTTTACACAAATTTTATATATTATATTTATATAAAATTTTAATTATTTTTCATTTAAGGGTTTATTA